TACTTAATTAGTACTGGCAATTATTATCTCTTCCATAGGACAAGGTAAACCTTCAGGTATCTGAAGACAACTGGCAAGAACCCATACAGTCTTTTCACCTCTAGGTAAAATATGCCTACGTCCTTCAATCATATCTTATAGGACATACGTTTCAGCCCCAATACAGGGTTTTAAAGCAGTCTAAGGTTATAAGGTTCAATTCGTTAAATGATCTACTGCCCAGCTAGGCTGATTATCACAGACCCCTTAGCACTTGGAGATTGTCTCCAGCTTGACACAAGACTGTCAATCACCCTTTGTTGGCCCTCAGTCAACAACTACTAGTTGTTCAGGTGTATGCTGTGTAGGTCCTGGGCCTGTTTGCCCTTAGATGTATCCCTCAGTTTTTCTTGTCTGCTCTGTACTGCGGGAAGGCTGACTCCTACAGGTTGTGTAACCCAGGCTGTTGACAGCCAACAGCAGGCCTCTTGGGAAAACTGGAGGGCAAGTGGGAGGGAGAGGTAAGGGTATTTCTTCCCCATGCTCTATGCTATGATGGCATCTCCAGCAGCAGCCACATCTCTTCCCTGGCTCCAGCTACCACTGGACAGGCCGATTTGGGTTCCAGGGTCTGTCAAGTGACTCTGGACCCTGGGTTCCATTAAGCCTGCCTTTCCCCTTTCCCTCCAGCCCAGCAGTGGTAGCAGCTTTCTGCTATTACTAATTGCTGATTTGCCTCCCTGTTGCCCATTTGGCTTCTCAGTCTGTTCCATCCAAAGAATTACTCTTTTCTGATTACAATTTATGCTGGTTTAAATGGTTTCTGTGATCCTGGTTGTCTCTGACTACATGATTCACATATTACTAGCAACTTCAGCATTTCTGAAATAAAGGTAAGCCTTATTATCTTTACTATATATATATATATATATTAATTACTATATTATCTTTACTACTGTACATAGTATTATCTGTTTTATCATTATAATGACCATAACTCAGGTAAAAAAACGTAGTTTTACGTGCCTTGGTCTTAGAGGATCCAGGCAGGTTTCTAGGAATCACTGAAATAAACCTTTTAGGAATACCTATTAAATTGGTCTGTTAAATGGCCTGGAGAGGAACATCAGCTTAAACAGTTTCTTAATTCCCAGGAGGTCCCCCGCCCCAATCTCTTCAAAATTCAGGATACTGTTTTCTTAACTCTAGCTTTCCTCGTTCCCTTTTGTTTCCCCATGGGAGAAAAAGCACTGAGAGCAAGGATTTAGCCCCATCAGTAAGTTCCTTTGGCAAATGTTTTCTCTGGGCCTAGAGGCTAAATTTACAGTCTTGTTTTTTCAATACTGCATTGCTTATATCGGGCTGTTTCCTCTCTGTCCCCTGTGCCATTTGTCTTCCTCTTCTCAGAGTGAAGGACATCTCTCTCGTGAGAAAAAATGGAAACTATGCTGCCTCCTTCCTCCACTTGTTGAAGCTATGCTCTGTCTACCTTGGGCCTTTCTGTTGTTTTGAAGTACTTCTGTAAGCCTCAGCCCATTCCAAGTGTTGGCTCTCTCCCAGGCCTATGCTTATGGCCCACCCAGGCCTTCAAGCTGGTTCGGCCCATCTATTCTTAGTTCTTGCTCTGTGTCTGTCTGGGATCCTTGCAGTCTGGTTCTCAACCTGTGGGCTCAATCCCTGGCCTCTCAGGGTCGCTTGCTCTTTCCTTCAGCCATGCTCCCTGGCCTTCCTCAGACAGATTCCTCCTAGTCTTGTGGTTGCAACCTGGCTTTTCAGAAACTACAGCCTTCCGTTACTGGCTCTTCTAGACTCTCTAGCCATGATACCTAGTATTTTTCCCTTGTCCTTATGAAATCAGTTCACTATATTTAATATTAACTGTTTCCCAGGCATCAAAGAAAGTGCTATCAACCTATTTTCAAGGTATATGCCATAGATCAGGCATTTTAAGGACAAAGCATGTCCTTCCTTTCGTTTTGTGCCATTTAAGTAAACGCTAACTGGGGTCCCAGATCTCTCCTGCTTCCTTCAGAGACCCCTGATCAGGGTAAAATATTCTTAGGTGCTGATCTTCAACCTTTTTTCTTTTTGCTTGCTTGCATCCTTCTTTAAACAATTGTGATGCAGTATGGTCCTTCTCACACATTTATTAACTTCATTCTTAGACTATTTCATAAGTTTCTACATTAGAAAAACATGGTAGGAGAGCATTTTATAAACATTCATATTTTTAGTAAGGCAATTATTTCACTCTTATACAAATGTATCCAATGTCACCTAGATAGCAAAGAAGGTGTCTTTCACACACACCACCATCCATTGAAAAATACATACAAAAATTTTCTTTATGGTCAGAGCTTTACACTGTTTCTTATAATTCCTTAAACCTCAGTTCCAATTATACTTTTTATACAGAATTTTACCCTTATGCAACATGTTTGAAAGCTCTTTAGTGATTATCCTTTTGTTTCTGTGCAACAACAAAACATGCAAGCCATTGAAACTAAATTTTTTCTTCTGATCATGAGGCTTTAAGTGTTCAGTTTTCTCCTGCATTAAAATCTAATTTCCATTATTATCAACACATGTAAAGTCAAAACAAAATATTACGAATACTGATGGTTACTAAACATAAAAAAGTTTACTGGAAATGTATTTCTTAATGGGAAGGGTGGGGCTTTTTTCAATTTGTTCATGAATCTGAGGATGCATGTGACTTATGGTTGGAGTGAGACAAGGTTCAGCATCAATTCTATTTCTATTTTTCTTTTTTTTTGTAGCTGTAAGGGCTAAGGAATCTTGCTTATATGAATAAGGAAGTAGGAATGAAAACAGCTTATAGTAATGTCATTTCATTCTTTGAAATCCCTTTTGATATATACAACAAAAAACTGCTTCATTTTTTCCTATTATCAGCTGTTAACTCTATTAGGGCCTCCTTAAGTTTTGTTGAAAACAGAGAATTTGATACTACCTGATTTGCAGAAGGATTTATTAGTCATTACAATTTGATAGGGTATCAACATTTTCAGTCATTCTTTTGTTTAGCACTATAGAGGTTTTTACACCCTGGAGCAATGCAATCTACCCACGATGGGAGAGAGGGAGGCTTTATACGAAGTGGGTAGAGCAATAATAAAAGAGGAAGTGTTTTAGGGGAACCCCAAGAGCCTTGCCTGGAAGGCACATTCTCAGGCACACTCAATTTGGGGGAAGAGTATTTGAGGAAGATGAAGATCTAGAAACTTGTTTCCTAAAACTGCCTATGCTTACGCATCCCATAAAAAGCCCTTGTGATCCCCACACACTGTAGTTGGAAGATCATTGAGGGTTTAATGAATGAATGAATGAATGAATAATATATAAATAAAGTAAGGTTTGAGGAATAAATCTGTTCCACACCTGAGTCATCCTTGGTCAGGGTGAGGAAGCAGGCAGAATGCCTTCCTAGGGATGAGGGGCACCCCTGAGCCAGAAAGAGTGGGACTGGCCCCAGATTGCCCAAAGACCCTGGATGCATTACAGCACTCAAATAGAAATCAGCAAACATAGGGCAGCGATGTAGGGGTGCAGATACCCAAGTACACTAGGGGATCTTGAGAATATAGAGCACTCTCTCCTCCATTAGTTGAACTCAGACTAACTTCAATGCTCTGGAGTTCCTCCCAGTTGATGCTTGGATGTAGGAAATGCAGTAAAAATAGAAGGCAGTTACATCCAGGCTAAGGGCTTATGAGTTGAGGTGTGAGAGGTCACTGTCCCTACAGTAACTGAGGGTCTTTGAACCAAACCTCTGGACACACCAAATGCCAGGCACCATGTTCGGTTATTTATGTTCACTATTTCTTTTAACTTTTACAAAAGTCCTATTTGGTAGATAATACTATTGCTATCCTACAGGTAAGAAAAATGTGAGATTATGAAAGGTGAAATAACCGGCCCAAGGTCACAGGTGAAAACATTTATCCTTGTGTCTAATTACTCGTTTGTTCTTCTTTACAGCAGATCATAAAGTCACACCATTGCTGTCAAGACCAGTGGTCTTTAGGAACCAAAATCCACAGACCCTCCAGAACAAAGAACAGAGCCCTGAGACCTAGTGGGTAGGGTGGGGAGGGAACAGAGAAAAACTGGCACAGTTTAACTCAGAACAGTCAACGAAGGCTGAAAAACACAAGCCAATGAACAGAGCCAAATCTATTCTTTGGTAATTGTCATACGCCTTTCCCAAAATGACCTTTCCCAGAACAATAAGAACTTAAAGACTCCCTTCAGATTTGGGTTCATGGCTCATGCTGTGGTGGAGAGGTGAGCCCTGAACCCAGAGAAATGGGGATAGCTATTGGTTTAACTGGCTCCCTCAGGCCACCTGTTTTATTTCTTGGGGCTTCGGCTGTTTCATGTGCAATAGATGAGGCTCAGATTAGAGTAGTATTTTCCAAACTTTTCAGATTGTATCTGAGTGAGAAAAAAATTTTTACACCATAAGGCAAGATGCACACACACTTCTAAAATAATTTGAGTTTCATGAAACAACACTCAGCCCTACTATGTGATGCTCTCTGATATGTTCTATTTCATCAAGCTGTTCATTTTATTGATTAAAAAAAACACCCACCTGGTTGCTACTCACAAAATTGATATTTTAATCTGTTAATGGATGGCAAAGCATGGTTTTAAAAACTCTGGACTTCTAAAGAGTAGCTTAATAATCAAGTCAGTGTTGTTCCTTGGGAGAACTGTGAATCTTTGGTCCCCTCCGACTTTTCAGGGGCTTATCTTCCTGGCTTCCTCTAGACCCATTTTATTCCTTCCACCTCTGTTTACCCTCACCCCTGCTGCTTTATACTCAGATGTCAAGAAATATTTCTGAGCAGGTGCTTTTGTTTTCTCTGAGGTAGCCGTAGGCATTCTCCCAGTTTTGCCTTAGCTACCTTTAGTGTGCTCCTGTTACTTGCAGCTAATGCAGGGCCTGTGTTGGAGAGATGCCTCCATGGATTCCAGTGCCTGAAACTACTCACCTTTGACTTTCAGAGTCAGGTACTTGTAGTCCCAGGCGATCCCGTAGATGATCAGACAGAGATACTGCCCTGCATCCCTCACTTGAACTCGGGGGATGTGGAACAAGGCCTTCCCCAGGGGCAGCTGCTCCTCCAGCAAAGTGGCTCTTTCACTGAGCAAAGTTGTATCATTTTCCACCTTTTGCAAACTGGCTTTTAAATCTCTAAGTTCCATGTCACCTCCAGTGTCAAAATCACACTCCAAGGTCACGTTGCTGCCGTAGTCTACGGTGTACATTTCCTTTGGGACTGTCACTGTGAATAAAGCTGAAAAGAAAATAAGACATTCTCCCATTGTTTGCCTTTACATTTCAGTTCTGCATAGCATGGGAGCAAAGGAGACCCATCCCACCCTGCTTCTCAGGAGATACCTGTCAGTATCTCGGCATTTGTGGAGGTTCCTTTTTCTCCTTTGTCCAATCTGTTCTGGCCAAGACTGGAATTTTTGATCTGCTGCTCTGAGGTAGTTCTCTCCTCTCAACACTCCCCACCTGTGTGGCTGACTGCCCTTCTGCCACCTATTATCCAGGCACATTTTCTTCATATGGATCAAATTACATCGTGCCTTGCCAAATTCTACCTTCTCTCATCAGTGACAGGAATAACAATTATCACTTGTTGAGTTCTTACTACGTGTCAGGCCTCTGCTAACACATGATCCCTTTTGTCTTCCCAGGAAGCCAGTGAAGTAGGGCCATTTTCTTTTTAGAAAATGAAACTGAGGCACAGAAAGGTTAAGCAACTTGCCCAAGATTGCACAACCAGGATCAGACCCAGGTATTGCCAAGTCGAAGTGTTAGAGCAGGCAGATAGCTAGATATGAGCAGAGAAAGAGGGACATAGACCAAATGGTAGGAATTGGGCAGAAAGGAGGGGCACAGACCAAATTCAGGAAACCATACATTATATAAGCACGAGGGGTCCCTGGGCAGAGGAAAAAAAGCAGGAAACTTTGGGCTGATAAGCAATCATACCTTTTGGGGTGGAGAGGCCTGGAGGCCTACAAAGAAAGATGAGGAAAGGCAGGACTCTTCAGTGTCCAAATGTAACCTTTTGCTCATCATGCGCTCATCACAATAAAGTCAGCCTTGCAGACTAGAAGTACCCAACATGCACCGACACCATAACACTTCTGATCCAGAAGAAATAAGGACAAAAATGCCTCCTCCCTTTGGGAAGGTGGAGTTGGGATTAAAAATCAGGGAATATGACCCCAAATCCTTCCCTCCCCAATGAATATTCTGCCCACTCATTTTTACTCTCTATGTAACCAACTTGCCAAAGAAATTCAGGGCAGCCGCTCACCTGAGCCTGCCCGCTCTCCCCTTGAGAGTGTACTATCCATCCCTTAAAAATCCCTGCTTCACTTTCTTAACCTATGAGTCTTGTCTCTGAATTCTTTCTGGTATGGAACAAGAACCTGGACACCGGTTACATCCACTAGCAACACAAGTGCCCTTACCCACCACCACATCATACAAGCCCACTGTGGAAGCATCTTTTATATCAACAAAAGGAAAGAAAGATTGGGACTAATATTTAGCATATACCTACTGTATGTGAGCCACTGTCACAGGCTTTTTATCTATATCATTTAATACTGAAAATGCAATCATAAAATATATATTATCATTACTGTTTTACAGCTGAGGAAACTTGGTCAAAGAGGTTTGCTCCAGGACATACAGTCAAGTAAAGTCAAACTTCAGAGCCAGTCGGATACCTGACTTAAAAATCTGTAGTTTTTGAAACAGTGACCCCAAAATGTCACACAGCTTTAGAATTATGCAAAATAATTTTAAACATGGCAGAACCAAGGCCTAAAGGGAGTTGGATTATTCGAAGAGGAATTCATACCCTCTTCAATTCTATTTCAGTCCCTCAAATTACATATAATTTGCAACTAGCCTCTCACATCCCTAACAATGGCTATTTTTCCTTTTAGTAAAACAGGAAGCTCTCAGGCAGATGTTAATAATAATCTGGTAGAATTTAATAAAACCACTTTACTTTCACTACATTTATTTTTACTCATACTCTCTCTTTACCAGTACCAGTGATACTGGGTTTCCATTCACCACAGGGGTATACTGTTTTGTTCAAAAGATAAAAGCTTAGTTGAGTTAAAGAATTCTATAAAAACAACAGCACACAGAGCAGTCGAACACAGCAAAAGTAATGAAGGTAGTGTGTGCAAGATTAAATTGTGAGAAACTGTACAAAGTGATGCTGCTTTCATCGTTAATGAATGGAAAATCATTATGACTAAGTGAGCAAGATCTCGAAGAAGCTTCTGAATTGTGACAGAAGATTAGATCAAATTATCTTCAGGAGGGCTTGCTTCATTAATCCACTCATTTAATCAGTCAAAACAGCCATTGGGGATGGCTTCTAAGAATATGCGATTTGAGGAGTCATTTTCATACAAAACATGGTACGTACGGAAAGAGCTTGGGATTTAGTGACAGATGAACCTAGGTTCAAATTCTGACTGTACCAAGATTATGAGCCCTTGCTGGGGCAGGTGGGTATAGCTCAGTGTTAGAGTGCATGCTTAGCATGCCCAAGGTCCTGGGTTCAATCCCCAGTACCTCCATTAAAAAGAAAAAAAAAAGGATTATGAATCCTTTGATCTTAATCATGTCATTTAACTGCTATGAGTCTCAGCCTCTTTTATCTGTAAAAGTACAAGGAGGAGCGGGGTGGGAAGGGACAGACTGGGAGTTCAAAATTTGTAGATACTGACAGGCATATGCAGAATAGATAAATAAGATTATACTGTATAGCACAGGGAAATATATACAAGATCTTGTGGTAGCTCACAGTGAAAAAGAATGTGACAATAAATATATGTATGTACATGTATAACTGAAAAATTGTGCTCTACACTGGAATTTGACACAACATTGTAAAATGATACAACTCAATAAAAAAATGTTAAAAAAAACCCAAAAAGGTACAAGGTTAATATCTGCCTCTCAATATTGTGGTGAAAACTAGACAGAATGGCACATGTGAAGCACCTTGTTTTGGCAGGCAGTAGGCGGTCAGCAAACACTGGTTCCTTTCTTTTGTACCATGCTTTAATTCTTGGGAAAGTGGTATTCTGACCACCCTGGACAACAGATTCACAGTATAAGTAGTTCGGGGGTTTTCAGTGGCTTGAATGATTCACATTGCAATTCTCTTCTGACTCGAGTTTTTCCTCGTATCATCTTGCAAGTCCTTGAAGGCAATGACCAGGTTGAGTTTGTTTTTGGTATCTCCAGTGCCTAGCACATACTAAATTCCAGTTCAGGGTTTAACATATAAATGACAGAAAGAGGGAGAGGCAGTAAAAACAAAAGGACAAGTCTACCCATGTTCACTTCTGTTTTCCTCTCATCAAACTGCAACTTGCACCAAACTGCACAAACTGGCATTCTTAATCACTACACAGCACATGTGATAGTGTAATATAGGCTTGAGATTTATTGAAAGTGACTGACAAGTTTATATCTTGCCTCCAACTCCTGTTTTAACAATGAGAACATTAATGTGCCTTTCTAACAGATATCTATGGTGCAGAAAGGAGTTCACATCTGCCCAGTATTCTTTCGGGCAGAATGGGGATGGGGGCAGGGCTATAACATGAGTGCTTCTGTATAAAACAATTCCAATCACATCTGCATTTGCTAGGCCAGGTATAGAAGACTCTGGGATGGTGTGGAGAAAAAAGATGTCATGCTTCCAAATTTCCCACAAAGTGGAATCCACTGAACACTTGTAATAACTCTTACCCCAAGTCTCCATAAGAGGATGCTCTTAAAGGTAGATTCCTTTATGACAGGAATCATCTCCAAATACTTGAGTTATTAAGTTCCCTTATAACTAAGACAGAGCTGCCTGATACCAAGTCCACCCTGCCTGAAGAGTAATACTTATTTATTCATCTGTCAAATATATATTAACCATCTTCTATGTGCCAGGTTCAAGAATTTACACTGCTTTTACTCTCCACATAGTACTTCCTTCTCTTATTTTATTGCACAAGATAAAACAAGAAACAAGGAAGAGAAATGGGGCTTGTGAGGAAGGTTACTTGCTGAGTCTGAGATTTAGCAAGAATCAGAAGACTCTGAGTGTAGTCCCTATCAAATTTATTTAACAAATTTATTTACCACACTTACACTTTCTTCTCATGAGAGGGAGTGGCTGTAACTTCCTCTGGAACTCCCCATAGCATACAGCAGAACTCCCCTCTTCACTGTCTGGGCCTTTAACAAAAATCCACTTTATCCTTGCTTTTCCCCTCTGCCTCTGCCTTGTACAGAGTGTGTGTGTAGAGGGGTTGGAGGCAAAAAGTGTGCTACCTTTCAGGCAGGTGACATTTTTCAGCTAATGTTCACAAGAGGAGAGAAAAATTGGCAAACATGAATCATGTATCTGAGTAGCTCAGAATAACTAGAACATTAGTTGTTATTTGGTCTAAGTTTGTCCCAATTAAAGCTTCTGAGATATGCAAAACTTTAAGCTTGATTACCCAATATAAAATGACAAGTTTAGGAGATGCAATATACTTTCGAAATCCTAAAATATTCTCACTGTAAATTACAGAGGAAATCAAAACACTCTTGCAAACAATTCTGTGAAGAGGTTTTTTTCAAGCTTGGCTGCACAGTAGAATCACTAAGCAGAGGGCTTCAATCTTAGCCATCATTGGAATCACCTGGGAGGCTTTTAAAACACCAATGCCTAGGCCCCACTTTGGATCCTTTAAAACTGAGGTCAACATCAATTTTTTTTAATTTCACTGGGAACTTCTAATGTGCACAGAACAATGAGAAACCATTTGTTAGACAAATCCAAAACACCTGCCCTTGCAAACATCTTATCATCCTGCCTTTCAGAGTGTTGTCCTCAGTTTCCTCTGGGAGAAATGTGACGTCTCCATTCAGCATTCCTACAATTCCTGGGAGGCAGGTAGAATTGCATCCCCTGCCCCAGACCTAGAGAAGCAGAATCTACTTTCTAACAAAATGGGGTGATTCACATGCACATTAACATTTGATAAGCAGAATGATAACACTAGTTTGCATTTGGATTGTTACTGGGAAGTAGAGTAATACTTAATATTTATTAAACACAATGAATCAGACACTGGGCTAAAGTTTACATCATCATCTTATTTGATGTTCTCCAAACTCTGCAAGGTAGGGGTCATTACCCCCATTCTACAGATAGGGAAACTGAGGCTTAAAGAAGTGATACAACTTGCCTAAGGTCAAAGAGTGGGAGCTCACAGAGTTGGAATTCCAATTCATATCTCTGTGTCTTGAGAGCTTGTACTTCTAACAACTCTAGAGATATGACCATATATCCACTGGCATGTACATGCTCCATTCATGAATGAAATAGATATACTTTGCAGCTTTATACTAAGGAAAAGACATTTGTTTTTTTTTATTTCATGTTACATGGTTATTAAATTAAGCTTCAACCTAGCATTGATTTCCTGATGTTACCAAAGGAGAAAACTGAAATTTTCCACGACAGAAATTAAGCAAACAAAACATTCATTTGGTCAACTTGACTAAATTAAAGGGTAAAGGACTTGGCCAAAGCTTGAAAAATTCATACATGCAGGTCCTTTAAACAGATTAAAATAGCTGGCTTGAGTAATGTTGGAGCATTTTTCAAAGTTCTTTAGGGAACTTTGCTTTTTCTTTGCAATCAAGGCATTAGTTGGAGCCGTCACATCTCCAGGAAACACAAAACAAGTTATTTGCATTACCTCCCGAGGTAACTTTCTCTCAAGCTAATTTTATACTTTTTTGCCCCCATCTAGCAATAGAAGCTTAAGAGTTTTCAGACTTCCTACCTTAGTACTTGACAGGTGAGGGTAGGACCAGGGTAGGGGCAGGGGACTGCTTTACACAGCCACAGTTTTCAGAAAACTCCAGTTCCTGGTTCAGGACAGATGCCTGCTCTGGGCACCTAACTCATGCACTTCTCTTTGTAGGAATACTGCATGGAGACATCTCATCTCAGAAATCCTTTCCCCAACTAGATTCTCCTGCTGTGTATACCTCAGGGGTCAGCAGAAGTAGATTTGGAGGCTGATTATAGGCTAAGTGGAGTGACTCAGGGTGTGGTCCCTGCCCCAGAGTGACCTCAAGCAACACCCTGGTCGTGCCTCCTGGGTTTTATTCATTTCTGGAGGACAAAAAAAGAAAAACATAAAAACACAAATGAAAGATATAAGATTGGGGTTACTTTTTCTTCCAAGACATGACAAAATACAAAAATATTTTCCCTTAAGTGTGTCTGGATTATAACATGTCCTTAGGTTTTGAAATGGAAATATAAGAAAAAAATGAAATGTAATGCTACAGTAATAAAAGAGTGTGATTAATGTGAAAAGATATCCACAAAGAGCAATAGAACAGAATGGAGAAGCCAGAAATAGACCCACACAAATATGGCCAAGTGATTTCTGACAAAGGTGCAAAGGCCATTCAATGGAGAAAAGATAGTCTTTTCAACAAGTGAAAAAATGGGACTGGGGCTGGAGCAACTGGATGTCCACAAGCAAACAAACAAATAAACAAACAAAACTTAACCTTATATAAAAATCAACTCAAGATGAGTTGTAAGCCTAAATGTAAGGTGTACAACTGAAAATGTTTGGAAGAAAATCTTTAAGTCTTAGGTTAGGCACAAGAGTTCTTAGATATGACAATCCATAAAAGAAAAAAATTGATTAATTGGATATTATCAAAATTAAAATCTTTGCTCTGCAAAACACACTGCTAAGAGAAGGAAAAGATGAAAAAATTTGCATAACACATAGCTGATGAAGAATTTGTATGCAGACTATATAAAGAACTCTCAAAACTTAGCCATAAGAAAATAAATAACCCAGTTAAAAATGGCCAAATGATCTGATACGCACTTCAGCAAAGAAGATATATAGACGGGCAATAGGTATGTGAAAATATGTTTATCATCACCGATATTAGGAAAAGGCGAATTCAACCACAGTGAGACACTTCTACACATCTATTAGAGTGACTTAAAAAGAGAAAATGACAATGTCAATACCAAGTACTGTCAAAGATGTGGAGCAATTGGAACTCTCATACTTTGCTGGCAGGAATGCAAAAATGGTATACAGACTATGAACGGTTTGATGGTTTCTTACAAAGTTAAATATATACTTACCATATGACTCAGCAATCCCACTCCTAGGTTTTCACCCAAGTGAAATGAAAACATATGCTTCCACAAAAACCTATATACAAATGTTTGTAGCAACTTTGTTTGTAATTGCCAAAAATAAGAAACAACCCAAAAGTCCCTCAACTGGGTAATGAATAAACAAAATGTGGTACAAACAGACAGTAGAACACTACTCAACAGCAAAAAGGAGTGAACTATTGCTTCATACAACAATATGGATAAATCTCAAGTGCATTATGCTAAGTGGAAAGAACCCAGACAAAAAGAGTATTTAATAAATGATCCCATTTACCTGACATTCTGGAAAAGTTAAAGCTATAGGATAGAGACTAGATAAGTGGGTACCTGGGCTTAGAAGTTGGGGGAGGATTTTTTGTTTGGTGATAGAACTGTCTGGGCCTTGACTGTGGTGGTGGCTGTGTGACTACACATTTGTCAAAACTCATGGATGCTTTTATGAAAAACAGTAAAATTTTAATTCATGTCAATTTAAAAATAAATATTTGAAAAACAAAATGAAAATGTTTTCTGATAGTTTTTCACTTCAAACTTTAACTTATATTATAGATAACACTGTAGAGCATCCACAGAACGTACAAGGAAAGAGTTAATTTCATATGTCTCTAAAATCCCAGCTGGGCAGGGTCCAGTAGAAAGGACACATCAAGTGTTCCTTTAACTACCACTGCAAAGGCAGGGCTGAAGTACGCAGAATATAGGGATGTTCTCCATGGATGACCCCAAGTCGATGTCCTAGTACCAGTCCAGATTGGGCAGCCCAAGGGAGGGAGAGGAACATGACTGGGTAGAGAGTAATTGGGACCACCTGGAAGGGAGGGAAAAGCTTTTCAAAAAGTTATCTGTGCCAAAGAAGGCACTTTTTCTCAATCAAAGGTGGAATGCTGGATGACTTCCCATGGAATCAGGGCTGCTATCATAGAGGACCTAATCCCCTGTATCCGCCTGTCTTCCTCTCTTACCTACTGGTATTCTCCCAGTGTAATTCACTCATGGTCCTGACTGCACACGTGAATGGTCTATGAACTGCTTTCCCCAGAAACGCAAAACTCTTGAAATTGCTTTCCTCCCTGCCCTACACTCTCCAGTAGAACACCTTTCTTCAAAATCCAAAGGCATAACCTTAAGGTTCATTATTCATTTAGACACAAGAAGATTCTGACTTTCCAATTCAAGCAATCCACATTAATGTGTGAACGACCAAAGGCTGCTGATGTTGCTTTTTAAAAGAGAAGGTGTCCCCCTGACCTTTGTCTCCTCACTGTCCCTGCCAGAAGAGAAGGGGACAGCTGTGTGGCATCTCACCTTTCAGGACACTCCACCCATGCCCTCTTGTGTCAGTTCAGAGGTGCACGGTCTGAGTGGTCCTGACTTCTTGTCACTACCATTATTGGACAGTGGGGATAGATGGGCCAATATTCTCAGTCCCTGTGTCTGTAAGACATGGACACGGATATACAAAAGCCACCCTGGGCACCATTCTTTTGGCTGTGCTTAACCAGAAATCACACTGCCTCTCGCAAAGCCTTCAGCCTGAGGACCACAGTCTCGTCCTTGGTTTCAGCTGAAGGTCATTACCTGTTCCTCTTTCTCAGTCCCCTCCCTTTATCCTTTCTTACCTGCTGTCTGATGAAGCTGCATTTCCAGGCTCAGAATTAGCAGGAGGAGGAACATGTTCTGTACTGGATCTGAAACAGACAATTGAAAGTCTCAGAGCCACCTGCAGTTTGCTGGGTCTCATGATTTGGTCATTTGCTCACTCTTGAAAACAAGAAAATGACTCGTAAACAAATCTTTTGGGGAGGCAGTGGACCGTGATGGAGTAGAGCCGGGAAGAGAAGTTAAGGTTTGATCACTTAGAGAAGAGAGGAGATAGGGTAAGAAGAAGCGAGGCCTCCTCTCGATCCAAATTAGAAGCACTTCTTCCTTCTCTAACAACTGTTTCTAAATATGAACCAGTCCTCATGAGTTACCCATACTGGTGGTTATCTGCACCTCTTTGTCTCTCCCATGAAGCCTTCCATAGTTTCAGCAGTAGGCCCTTGAAAACCAATCTTGTTTGTCAAATGAAGGATACACATCACCTTTTCCAGCTGCACTGGAACTCTGGGAGCCAGACACTAGATAGTGTTCAATAGAACAGAATTAGATTCTCAGCAAAAACTTGGGAACTGACTGAGCAGGTAAAGCAGTCAAGCTCTTTACAGTGCTATGATTGAATGTGCCCGTTACTTGAACTATTTGTCATTAAGACGTGTAGACAGGGAGAGCAGAGAACTGGCTCCACTGAGTAGCTGCCAAACCTTGGTCCTGTTTCAACTCCTGTGCTTCCACCTTTGCTCAGCTTTTCCACCCAGGGACTTCTAGAGATTGAAGGCAAAAGGGACAGGGTATACCACTGTCAGCTTTTTTTCCTTCAAACAGGCTTTCAAAATTTTATCAGCCATAGAATCATTTCTCCAAGGGGAAATCAATTGGAGCCATACATCTAAATCAGGTAAAAGCAGAACTGCTCTGTGTATAGTGGAAAGTCAGTGGAGGATTTGGATCAGGAGAATGACATGATCTCATTTTACATTTTTAAAAGAGGACTCAATTTTGGTGTAGACAATAGACCACTGTTGTGAAGGAGAGTGGGATGAGCAAGATTAGAAGCAGAATGATAGTAAGGAATGTTTTTGCAGAGATGATAGTTTGGGTTAGAATGGTGGGGCTGGTGGAGGTAAGAAGTGGTCTGTTGATGGTTTTTTATTTTTAAACATTTTTTCTTGGTCCTTTAAATGTATTAAATTCTTAACAGCTTTATCGGAGTATGATTGACGTACAATAGAGGACTGTGGGTGTGTGCACATAGATATATTTAAGACACAGATGATTCAATGGTACAATTCAGTGGTTTTCAGTATATTCACAGAATTATGCAACCCACACCAGTACCTAATTTTGGATCATTTTCATTATTCCAAAAAGTAACCCAATACTCACTAGCAGAAACTCCCCAATTCCTCTTCCTCTTCCCCCAGCCCCAGGCAATCACGGATCTCCTTTCTATCTCTATAATTTACTTATTCTGGATGTTTCATATAAATGGAATTATACAATATGTGGTCTTTTGTGTCTAGCTTCTTTCAGTGAGCATATTATTTTCAAGATTGATCTGTACTGTGAAACATTATCAGTAGTATATTCCTTTTTATGACTGAATAATATTCCATGTATGAATACACCACATCTTGTTTATTCATTCAGCAATTGATGGACATTTGAGTTGTTTCCACTTGTTGGCTATTACGAATAATGCTACTGTGACACTCAGGTACCAGTTTTTGTGTAGATATATTTTTGAATCTCTTGGGTATATACATAGGAGTGGAACTGCTTCATTAAATGGTAACTCTGTTTTACTTTTTGAGAAACTGCCAAACTGTTTAGCAAATGTACGATTTGCAATTACTTTCTCCCACCCTGTGATTGTTTTTGCAGTTTCTTGATAGTGTTCTTTGAAGCACAAATGTTTTAATTTAATTTTAAAGCATAAATTAATTCTGATGAAGGCCAATTTGTCTATTTTCTCTTTAAATTGCTTTTGCTTTAGGTGTCATCACTAAGAAATCATTGCCTAATCCAAGGTCACAAAGATTTACATCTATGTTTTCTTCAGAGAATTTTATAGCTTTAGTTCTTATATTTAGGTATTTGATCTAGTTTGAGTTAATTTTTACATATGGTGGGAGGTACGGCTCCAGATTCATTCTTTTGCATGTGGACATCCAGTTGCTGCTGCACAATTTGTTGAAAAGATTATTCCTTGTCCATTGAATTCTCTTAGCATCCTCACCAAAAATCAATTGAACTTAAACACTGGAGAATATAGCCATCTTAATAATATGAAGTCTTTCAATCCATGAATGCAGTGTGTCTTTCCATTTATTTAAGACTTCTATATTTTCAGAGATTTGACAGGAATTGTTGACAGGTTGGAAGGGTAGTTTGACAAAAGTAAAGAAATCTAGAAAAATTTCTAGGTTTGGGGCTTGAGTCTCTAGGGCAATGGAGATACTATTTATTAAAATGGAGAAGACTAACAGATTAGGGAGCAGAAATCAAGATTTGTATTTGGAATATGTTTGGTTTGAGATGCCTATTAGGTATCCACATTGAAGATGTTTAGTAGGCAATTGAATAACTGGTAGTCCAGAGTTTGGGGCAGAGATATAAATTTGGGAATCATCAACGTATAAGTGTTACTAATGCCATGGTGCTGCACGATGTCATCTAAAGAGAGATAAGGAAGAGAAAGTGTCAAAAGGACTGAGATGTGGGTCATTCTAACATTTATGGATCTTTGAGAGGGAGGGTACTAGCAAAGAAAACTGAGAGGCAGGGTATAAAGGCAAATGAATCATCTCTTTTATTTTCTGTATTCTCATTTGACTTCTGGAGCCTTGTTGACTGTGGAGGGACTGCCCCCTCAAGAGTACCCAATTCCTAGAAATAGTAAACAACTCACCCTCAAGTGCACCTTTCATATGCAAATCAACCATTCCAAAGCCCTATCTTCAATCACCTCCTTACTAGGCTCTCACACTCTGGGCCACTACCTATTTGCCCTAATCACCCCAGGGCCAGATACTAGACAATAAGGGACAGCTCCTATCCCCCCAGAGTCTGCTGAAATTATTCAAACTAGCCCTATTTGTTCCTGTGGAAGCCACAGTAAAGGCTCCTAGCTACTTCCCCACCTTCTCCCAATGCCTCCCATGTGACCCTGATATTTACCTGTGTGGCTCCCTGTGGTATGGCATGCCCTTTTCTCTTGGAATCTATGAGTATAACAAATTATTTTTTCAATGGCACTCACCTCCTGATCTGTTGGCCTCACCGTACCTAAACAATAATAAAATCTAGAGTTTAAAACATAGTACTAGAAGGAGAAAGTGATCAGTTGAGCCAGCTCCTGAGAGCTAAATTTAGCAGTATGAAGGTCATGGATGACCTTGGTAAGCATGGTACCAGTGGGTTTGGTGCAGATGAATGCCTGTGTGGACTCGAGGGACAATAGGAGGTAAGGATGTGGAGACAACAGAATATAGGCAACTCAGGGAAGAGTGCTACAGGAGAAATGGGGCAGTAGCTAGAAGGGAATTGAGGTGGGCTGTATTCTTAGTTTAGGGAGGGAGATATTATAGCAGGTAACAACTGGGAACAGAATCAAGTGCTTTCCACTGGGCAATGCTCTAGACACAACTTAGCTAGACTTGAAAACCCTCTTCCTTGTTGAAAATAAAAATATGTATAAAAAAGATACCATCTTAAGCTGCACCTGCAGCCTTGCCCAGCATTTTAAATTCTAGAATACAAAAGGATAGCATGTAACATGTGGTCTGGCAACAGAAAAGACTCCAAGTTCACTCACCACTGGTTTTAACTTCCCTTTCTTCCTTGCCCATCCAAGGGGACTTTCCTTGCACACTGCCTCCTTGAGCCAGTTGAGAGACAGACACTTTCATAAAGGTACTTTCCAACAAGCAACCTTCTTTCTTCTAGGGATAATGTGTCCCATGCAACAGTTAAGAGCACAGGTTCTAAAGTCAGATGCATCTGTGTTCAAATCCTGGGTCTATAAATTATTAGCCTCTAACACCTTGGACAGTTATGAAAACTCTTTGTGTCCCATTTTCCTATAGTGCCAACAATAATAACTTCTGCTTCAAGGCAGAATCTTGGGGGTCATCTTAAACCTACTCATCTCTCATCTTGAACATCCAGTCCATTCTCCCACACCTGTTAATTCTACTTCCTGGATACTTCTTGGATTATGCCTCTTCCTTCCACCACTCCACTGCCATCACCTTAATGCAGCTTCCCACCATTTCTCATTATACCATAGCAGAGCCTCCTCACTGCCATTTTTACCTTCTAGTCTTGCTTCTTTCTACTCCATCCTCCTCTTACCAAAGTGGAGGACACAAACCTTGGTGTCATCCTTAACTCCTGTTTTCTCTCACCTGCATCTGGTTCATTAACAAATCCTGTAGGCCTTTCTTTGAAACATATCCAGAATCTGACCACTTCTCACTGCTTTCACATCAACCTAAGACATTATCACCTGTCATGGTGATTGTAACCTTGCCTTCCTACAGTTGATTCTCAACACAGGAGCCAGAGCAATTCTTTAAAAATCCATGTCTTCTTAAAACCTTTTGATAGCTCAGTATTTCACTGAGAGTAAGAGGGGCCTCTGTCCTGAGCTCTCCTGTGATTTAGAGGATCCCAGTGTGCTCATGCCTTTCATGCAGTGTGAAGTGTTCACAGGGCTGAGAGGTGTCATCTAGAGCCCGTGATCTCTCTCCACCATCCCCACAATCTGGGTCCTTGGGATGCTGGAATTTCCTGCCCAAATGGCCCTAAGCCTGCTTCCAGGATCTGGCTTCTTCCCCAGATCCATCCATTCAAGGATGGATCTTGCTGCTAATGTGCTCATCCATATGCCTGGACACTTAACTCTTTTTAGTGAGATGACCTTATGGAAAATTGCAATAGCACCACTCATCCAGCATTCCCAGTTTCCATTTTCTGTCTCTCTTTTCCAAAGCTTTCATTACCATCTAACATGCTATATAACCTACCTGTTTATTGTATTATTACCTGCCATCTTCCATTAGAATATAATCACTAAAAGTGCAGA